AATATTGTCCTGCTAGTTTCCAGGAATAGTCTTTGTATTTATGAGGTCAATATAATGCAAACTAAAAGTACACGCACAAAGAAAACGGAAAATGCTATAATAGCAGAAGAAAATGACCTTGCATTTGCACCCATCAGGTTCTTCAGATTTGACTTGACATTTGCCTTCCCTATGAGAGACGTGATCAAGGATTTTATTGTCTATGAGGAATTATTTGAACTCAGGAACCATTGATGCCTAATGCAGAAAGAAAATATAATCATCATAGTTTATTTCTTTCCTAAAACTGAAATTTGCTTAGCAGCAAGCTTAGTTTTTAAAATGGAATCTACTGCATATGTTCCTCAATGTAAATAGTCTATTTTCAGCAACCTAATTCTGCACTATGTATGTATGTATGTCTTGCATGTTAATACCTTTTTAATTCTTGTTCAAAAGATTACTCTTCTCCCCTCCACCGCCCCAACTCTATTGGAACTGGAGCTTTATGTTGGTCTTTAGGAGCTCATGTAACTCTCAAAATGTCATTCTCTCTAGTGTTCATAAATCAGAGAAATAGGGCTGAAAGGGACTCAGATGTCATTGAGCCTAACCCCCTGTCTGAAATAAGATCATCCCTATAAAAGCCATTCAGCATTCCTTCTAAGTTGTGCGTGGCCGCACAGGTGTGCTAATGCCATGCATGCCACGTAGCTTAGAGGGAACGCTGCCTATATTTTAATAATCTAAATTCTACATAAGACTATCCTCTACCCTGATGCAACACAGACATAACACCCTAATCTGCCACAGGTAAAGCAAGGGAACCATGGCAGCCAATGTTGTGCTTCTATAGTAGGCAACTACCAATCCTCTACATCATGCTGTACACATAACAGGTCTAGTTCTGATTAATCCATTTGTAGCTGATGACCAATTTGAGAGTGACACAGCTTGTTGCAAGTTTCACAAATCCATATGTTGTCTGTGTTGGAATGCAAATTTACAGCCTGTTGCTCTCTTCTTTCTTGCTTTGCTTCCATCCTTTGGTTCAAAGCGGCTTCATGTTGAGCTGCATATGATGCTAGATCTTCCCTCCAGATTGGATGGGATTCTGTGTGCTCCTCCCACATTTCTACCTTGATATTGAATTACTTCTTCATATAACTTTTGCACACATCATGGCAGCACCATAGAGGGTGACCTTGCTTTCTAGAACTATCTTGAATCTCACTGTACAACATATTCTTGTGGATACAGTCTTCTCCTTGACATGGTTGATCCATCATAACCTCTCCTTCTTGATAGTGGTTTCTAAGTGTATCAATCCTGCATGCTACAGTACCTGTTTGGTATTCTGTCCTCCCACTTTATTTTCAGGATCTTCAGCAAACATTTCATGTGGAAGCTGTTTAGTCTCTTGATATGCCTGCCATACATAGTCCGTGTTTCTGAACCATAAAGCAGGAA